AACATCCAACAACCAATTCCATAATTGGGGTCTAAAAATTGGATGCCCCCAAAGCCAATGGTTTAAAGAGTGAAAAAAAGCCGGCTTTTCCCTGGCATGATATGGCATGATATGGGTTTTAATCTCCCATTTTCAAACCCAAATAGACTGGTTGGTGGTTGAGCCCTACCCCTCTGAAAAATGATGGAGTGAAAGTCAATTGGGATGATTATTCCATTCCCAATATGAATGGAAAGTCTTGCCATCCATTCATGTTCCAGTCACCAACCAGTATAGTATACCCTCTGGTATACCCTCTGGTAAACCAACATAACAATGGTTAAAATCACAATTTTTTATGGCTAATTCCACTATGTCTATGTCCATGGAGTCCCAACTGGTCAACGTCCATAGGAATCCCAATGACGGGTAAATTGTAATATTTCACTCACTAAACTTGGCTATAACTCTGGGATTCAAACCTCCATAAGTTGGGATATATATATATATAACTGGGTAAATTATAATATTTCACTCACCTGAATTAAGTGTGGTAAAGTTCCATTACCCTCTGGTTATTTAACAGTTCGCCATGGAAAATCACCATTTTTAAGTTCGGCAAACCTTGTATTTCTACGGGCCATCTATACCATGGCGAGCTGTTAGTCATAACCAGAGGGTGTGTATATATATAACTGGGTAAATTATAATATTTCACTCACCTGAATTAAGTGTGGTAAAGTTCCATTACCCTCTGGTTATTTAACAGTTCGCCATGGAAAATCACCATTTTTAAGTTCGGTAAACCTTGTATTTCTATGGGCCATCTATACCATGGCGAGCTGTTAGTCATAACCAGAGGGTGTGTATATATATATATATAACTGGGTAAATTATAATAGTTCAATCACCTGAATTAAGTGTGGTAAAGTTCCATTACCCTCTGGTTATTTAACAGTTCGCCATGGAAAATCACCATTTTTAAGTTCGGTAAACCTTGTATTTCTATGGGCCATCTATACCATGGCGAGCTGTTAGTCATAACCAGAGGGTGTGTATATATATATATAACTGGGTAAATTATAATAGTTCAATCACCTGAATTAAGTGTGGTAAATTTCAATTACCCTCTGGTTATTTAACGGTTCGCCATGGAAAATCACCATTTTTAAGTTCGGTAAACCTTGTATTTCTATGGGCCATCTATACCATGGCGAGCTGTTAGTCATAAACAGAGGGTGTGTATATATATATATAACTGGGTAAATTAAAACATTTCACTCACCTGAATTAAGTGTGGTAAATTTCAATTACCCTCTGGTTATTTAACAGTTCGCCATGGAAAATCACCATTTTTAAGTTCGGTAAACCTTGTATTTCTATGGGCCATCTATACCATGGCGAGCTGTTAGTCATAACCAGAGGGTGTGTATATATATATATATATACATATAACTGGGTAAATTATAATAGTTCACTCACCTGAATTAAGTGTGGTAAATTTCAATTACCCTCTGGTTATTTAACAGTTCGCCATGGAAAATCACCATTTTTAAGTTCGGTAAACCTTGTATTTCTATGGGCCATCTATACCATGGCGAGCTGTTAGTCATAACCAGAGGGTGTATATATATATATATAACTGGGTAAATCATAATAGTTCACTCACCTGAATTAAGTGTGGTAAATTTCAATTACCCTCTGGTTATTTAACAGTTCGCCATGGAAAATCACCATTTTTAAGTTTGGTAAACCTTGTATTTCTATGGGCCATCTATACCATGGCGAGCTGTTAGTCATAACCAGAGGGTGTGTATATATATATAACTGGGTAAATTATAATAGTTCACTCACCTGAATTAAGTGTGGTAAATTTCCATTATATTAATGGGAAAATCATCTCCATTTCTCCAAACTTTCCAATGGCATCCCAAACCGTTAGAAGAGTTTGGCCATAAAAGGAGATGATTCCCCGAATCCGAAGCATGATTTCCAGGGCTCGGGAGAACGGGGTTCGGTCGTGATGAAATTTACCCAGCCCCATGTGCATTTTTCAGCACTGTCAGTTCTTCATATCAGCACTGCTGTTTTTCGAAATTTTCAGAACCAAATTGAAAGGTTCACACTGACAACCAATGAAATTAGCCCCTGGTGATCCAATCTAGCTATGGAAATCACATACAAACAACCGAGATCAAGCGAGTAACGTGGCATCTGGTGAACATGAAATCCATTGCAAACTGCTTCCCAGGGTCCCTGGGCGCCCAAACTCCTTTCTTCTGCATTTCCCTGCGCCATGGATGAGGCAGCATTTTGGGGCTGCTCATTTTGGGGGTTCCACCTCCGTTCGTGGTGTCCAAATCAATAGTGTAGTATTAATGACATACTCTCTTGTTTACAATGTTAATGTTCGTTGTTGCATATTTTTGCCCAATAAGCCATTGTTTTGCTCGCAAACCCAGTGTTCTGTTGTTTCAACCCAAATTTGGATTGTCAATCTCGCAAATGTCTGCTATTTCTGCCGTGTCAGGTACTTAAATCATAGATGATATTTACAACACCGCCTTCAATGATCACCAATCGGCACTTGTAAGAACTTCAGTTTCAAAGTCAAAAAACAGGTTTGCTCCAAACACCCCAGGTACAAGGGGGGTAAATTGGCAAAATATAGTGGTAAAATGACTAATTTACTACTTTTGCGGCTATCATTTCTCTATAATGGGTTGGACCAAACGTTGAAAAATGTTCAAATCATCTCAGTCTCTATAACCAAGTTTTATGGGATGCCTACCCCAGTTATCCGCACTTGTATCTGGATCTAAAAATTTTCAAACATATGTGTTTTGCGAAATCAACGGGGCATAGTGGGATACATCCCAGTTGCACACCATCTAGTGATTAACCAACTTCTTACTCCGAATGTTGCTACATATTGTGGTTTCCTAACATGGGGGTACCCCCAGTTCTCATCCATGTTATTTTCGGATGTTCCATTAGAAACCCTCCAGCTATTGGGGATCCCCCATTGATGGGAGCCTCCATATTTGCATCCCAAGGATACCATCTATTAAGGTTGTTTCAACGTTGGTGAATACCTCAGAAACCATGGAGTTTGGCGGTTCAACTTCCAAGTGGATATGACTGGCAATGTGGCATGTTTCTTTAAGAAAAACGCTCCCCAAAAAACACCATAGATGGGTTATAAGCCATCCCCAAGTTGTAGGTTGATTATTGGGTTGCCCACATTACTCAATATTTAATCCTTGGACTACATTCTAATAGGACTTTACAAACTGATGTCTGAACTACATTAATCAATCAACCCATTCACAACCGGTCTATGACCCCATGAAAATGTGGCACATGTTATGAATTGTGGGTTGGTCCCCATTTTTGGATTTTGATTATATGTTGTAAGTTAGTTCATAACTATGTACAATAGCTAGGGTCTATAGGGGATATGTTCGATGTAGATACAAACCAACTTAGAAGTGGGGGGCCACTTTGTACCGTCTTGCAAGTTAACATAGTTGTGGAGAACCAGCATGTGGTATCATGTGGTAAGGTAAATCATGTATCGCTGAACATTTTCCATAGATATGTTGATATAATCTAACATTTTTCCATAGATATGTCAATATTTTCCATAGATATTTCTATATTTTCCATAGAGCTAGGTGTCATTTGCATACATGCAACATGAATCCACCTGCCAGGTACCATTTCATTTGACCTGTCAGGTATCCGTTTTCACCAACGTTGCCCACTTCTGCTCAATTCCATTGGCAGGTGGGCGGGAATTTCACCAAGCCATAGCTGCTGCGAAAAGGTGCAGACTTCGAGCGCTTGCACCACCATTGCCTCTTGGAAACTTCGTGGGTTCCAACCTAGCATCCTGTGTGATACCAACCCCGCAGAAGCTACATTGGTAGCGGAGCCGAGATTGCTCGGCCTGCTGCTGCTGCGCGCTCCAACCTAACCAATAACCCTTACAACCTCACCTTCAACCTTGTGATTTCCTTCTACAACTTTCTGGACAAGATCTATCGAGCTTTGCACTTTGCCAGTCCTACATCTTTGAGTTTGTCCAGGACATCGGGCTCTGGCATAGCAGGGCTTCTCTTCTACCTGGACCTTAGCAGTGCTTCTCTTCTACTTGGCCCTGAGCAGTGCTTCTCTTCTACCTGAACTTCCCTGAAGAGAGCTATGTCAGCTGGCGCAACGACTTCGAGCGCAAGTGGAACTGCCCTGGACCAGCAGAGCACTCGCGACAGCTACATCCCTGTCTTTGATGGCACTCCAGCGAACTACAAGGAATGGCGAAAACGAATCATCATCTATGCCAAGAAGATGAAACTGATGAACAGAAAGGGCGAGTGCGTGCTGAACCTGCTTGGCTCTTTGCAATGAACAGCATGGAAACTTGTCGAGGACTTTGACTTGGAGTCCGTGAGCGGCGACACCGCCTTGAAGGACATCTTGGCCCTGTTGGACGCAGCTTTCCAGTATGACAGCAAGGTGCGGACTTTGCCGCATACTTCGAAAGCCAAGGACGTCGCAGTGGTCAGAGCCTCCTTCAGTTCATCACCGACCATGATGATCGACTTCGCCGAGTAGAAAAGCATGGAGTCAAGCTTCCAGCAGAAGTTCAAGGATGGCACTTGTTGGCAAAATCCAACATTTCCAAGGAGCAGAAGCAGATGGTGATGACTCAAGCCAACTCCTTGGAGCGTACGAAGATTCAGCAAGCTTTGTACTCCATCCTTGGCCAGGACTACAAGCACAGCCATGTTCCAAACCCCAGCCGATGGTCTTCCTCATCACGCCCTTCTGGAAAAGGTCGTGGATACTATGTGGATGAGGACAACAACGCCTATGAAGATGACGCTTGGGGCTACATGGCTGAGGATGACGACTTTGCCTACTATGAGTACGACGATGGTGCTTGGGAAGATGATGGCAACTATGATGAGTTTGACTGCGATGCTGTCTACTACCAGGAAACTACGGATGATCCCATCATGGATGACTACGGCTATGACCCTGACGAGTACGATGAGTGTTTTGCAAGCTATGTAGATGCTCGACGAAGGTTCAACGAACTTCGCATGTCGAGAGGCTTCTTGCCTGTCGTTGCACTCGACCCCAATGCCTCCGGCTCCAACCGACAGCCCATCAACAACAAGGGCAAAGGAAAGAAGGGTCGTGGAAAAGGGCGTGGAGGAAAGAACAATGTGAAGTACTCCAAGCCGCCAATGAAGCCTCATGATCCCAAAGGTCGAGCACAAGCTGCACTTCGATGTCTTCGATGCGGATCAACAAGCCATACGACAGCGCAATGCACCCAAGGATCCAAGCCAACTCAAAAGGCTACTCCAACTGGTCCCAACAAGCGACAAGCCACTGAAGGAGTTGCTTCGAACAACATCTTCGACCCTGAGAGCGGCATGGTGATGTTCGAGGACCAATCTGGAGCTCAAAGGCCAGATTGCGCGATGATGGATCCTGGTGCCTCCTCTTTCTTGATGGGCTATGGTCCTTTTTGCAGATATTTGGACCACCTCAAGAAGCTCAACTTCCCTGTGCACGAGATCACCCTCAAGAAGGCCAACAGAAACTTCCACTTTGGAGGTGATCACCAAGCAGTTAGCTCTTGGACAGTGAACCTGCCCATCTTCGTGAACCACCAATTTGGATTGGTCCAAGCGTTCCTCTTGAAGGGAGAGACACCAATGCTGCTTGGCCGACCAATCACAAAAGCTCTTGGCATGTCCCTGGACTTCCTCAACGATCGCATCAAGTTCAACAATGGTGAGTGGCGTGACGCAACTCTTGGACGACACAGTGAATACCTGCTGCTACTCACCGAGGACTTTGACCCGGCGATCATCTCCAATGGTGCTGCCTTTGACCTGGTGCTTGAAGATGAAGACGGCCCCAACTTCACCCTTGAGCACTTCCAGACCACTGAGAATGTGTACATGGCCGACGAGCACCCAGCACCTGAAGGTTCACTTCTCCTCAAAGGCAAGATGCTGAAATCCATCGACAACTCTGCGCTGACACGCCTGAAGGCGGCAGAGGCCTACATTGCCCAAACTCTTCATGACATGGAAGAGAGACGACCTCGAAAACTATGGGAAGTTTACTGTGGGCATGGCCGAACTTCTGAGATTGCAACTTCCTTTGGCATGGAGACCCAGCGATTTGGATTTGAAACTGGATGGAACTTTTCACTGCGATCTCATCAACGAGCTTTCATGGACTTGCTCGATGAGGAACTACCAGATGAAGTTCTACTTGCACCATCCTGTTCGCCTTGGTCTCCCATGCAGAACGCCAACATGCAGAACGAGCGCAAATGCCAACAGTTGCAACAACTTCGAGAATGGCATCACAGAGTTCACCTGCGGTTTTGCAGGAGGATTTACTTGAAGCAGCTTGGAGAAGGACGACATGCTCATCTTGAACAACCAACTCCAGCTCTTTCTTGGAAGACAAGCTCGCTACGAGACCTTCCTGGACATCGAGCACGATTTCATCAATGCCAATATGGATGTGTCTGCATGACTGTTCGAAAGCTGCGGTGGCACAGGCCATGAATCGCCTTTGTCCAGGAGATCAACACTGCCGACTTGAAGGCCATTTGAAAGGTTTCAACACTCTGAAGACCACCTTCATGCAGGACTACCAGCCTGCCATGGCCGCCACATTGGCTGCTGCAATTGCTTCTCCGGAAGTACCTCACCCTTGGGACTTTGGATTTGCAGTCCAAGAGGTGAAGGAGCATGTCGGCAAGATGATTGACTTACATGTGGAGGGCAAGGCCGAAGCCTTGCGTGTGGTTCAGAAACTCCACAGGAACCTTGGACACCCTTCTACAAAGTCCTTGGTCGAGCTTCTTCAAAGCCGCAATGCCAGTGAGACTTTGATCCAAGTTGCTGGATCCTACGTTTGTGCAGCCTGTCAAAGGTATCGCAAACCAAATCAGCCAGCACCTTCAAGCATCAACACTGCAGAGAACTTCAACCAGAAGGTTCAATCAGACGTCTTTTGGATCAAAGAGGGTGGCGTGAAATATCCCATTCTCTCCAACATCGACATGGCCACCAAGTATCAGACCGCCACTTTGCTGCACAAAGAGAAGACTGGCGACCTGATCACTGGATTTGAGCGGTCTTGGATTGCCCATTTTGGGCCACCAGCCAAACTTCTTACAGATGAAGGCAGAGGATGGGTCAGCGACCAAATGGCTGAATGGACTGACTCTTTGTCCATAAACCATGAAGTTGCCCCTGGTGAAGCCCACACACGAATGAGCTTGGTTGAGAGGCGACATGCCGTGCTGAGGAAAGCCATTGAGGTGTACATTTCTGACTTGGACTTGCATGGCCCCGATGGACTTCGAACGGCCTTGACGTACATCCTCCCTCAGCTGAATGCTCAACCAACTGTGGCTGGCTACAGCCCTTCTCAGTGGCTTCTTGGGTATCCGCCATCGATTGGCAACCTCCTGACCTCTGACCAGATCACTCCAGTTCATCTTGCTGGTGGATCCTCTTTTGAAGAAGCCCTGCAGCGAAGAAACATGGCCAAAACTGCAATTCTCCAAGCGGATACTGACCAGAAGCTACGGCGTGCACTACTTCGCCGATATGCTGGCGACAACATCAAGCTGTCAGTGGGCCAGACTTGCTACTTTTGGCGAGATGCACAACAGAGCGACTTGGTCAAGATACGTTGGAAGGGCCCAGCCAAAGTTTTGATGGTCGAATGTGATGGAGATGGCAAACCAACATGCTATTGGATTTGCTACAAGACCCAACTCATACGATGTGCCCCTCATCACTGCAGACCAGATTTTCATGCTTTGGCCACCAACGTCATCAACAACTTGGAGGAAGCAAAGAATGTGATCAGACAGATCAAGTCACGTGGAGTCACTCGGTACCTGGACTTGAACCGTGTGAACAAGCAGCTCATCGACGATGTGGAGGAGGACGAAGAGATGATGTCAGACAGCTCCAACCCTGAGCAGAACTCCAAAAGAAGACGTCTGGCGATGTCTCCAGTACCTTCGGTAAGCTATGAACCATCGCTTGCCGATGATGAAGTTCCAATTCCTCCTGAACAAGATGATGCTGCCAACAACGACTTGATCCACAACAACGGTGCAGACCTTCCTCAAGATGTTCCTGTACCCGACACCAACGACAATGTCGAGAACTTGTTTGAGCCTTCAGCTGAACCATTTCCACCAACACCGATGGCAACGTCACCTGTGAATCCAATTTCAACACCAACATTTCCTGACCAACATGTTTCAGTGCAATCACCATCACAATTTCCATTAACACAACCTCCTCTTTCTTCAGTGCAACAACCACCACCTTCTTCACCGCCATTGCCTTCACATGTTTCAGCACCACAAGATATGCAACATTCAGAGCCACAACTGACACCAGCTTCAGTGCCACAGTCAATACAACCACCACAACCTTTTGGAGAAACGTTTCAACAGCGAAGAGCCAGACTTGATCGACAAGAAATGATGCCTATTTTCAACCAACCACACCGACATCAACGACGAAACCAAGATGGACCCTATTCAAAGCCAACACCCAATGATGATGATGACTTGGCCAACGTTGTTTTTCAGGTCGAAGATGTTGATCCTGATGGACTTCCTAGCGATTGGCACTTCAGACCTGAGACTGGCTACTTTGAGCTGCGACCTGGAACCACCAACAGAGACTTTTGGGAAGTCAAAGCAGGATGCTTGATACGTCACCATGTGCATCCTCGCAAGACCTTGTTTGACCCCAACGGCTTCAAGGACATCCCAATCCCGGTGGAGCACCTCGACAAAACCAGAGTGACTGTTCACCACACCATTGACGGCCAGATTGCCTCCTTCACTGACGACTTCAAGAACCAGATGCACTTCACCAAAGACTTGAAGAAGCATCAACTGCCTGTTCAATGGTTTGGAATTACAGTTTTTCAGATCGATGCCACCACCAGAAAGGAGTTTGGGATGACAGCCCAAGACCAACGCAGCTCAGCCAAGAAAGTTGCCCAAGATGCCAAAGTTCAGCAAAAACGAGTCTTTCGCCGTGACATGGCCAAGAACAAAGGTGAGATCTCCGAGAAACACCTCACTGCTGCTGAGAAAGAGTTGTTCCTCCAGGCCAAGGTGAAAGAACTTCAGTCGTTTTTCGAAAATGGCGTGTGGGAGTTTTCCACATCAGCAGACGCCATACCTGAAAGGACTTTGACAAGCAGAATCCTTTTGAAATGGTCCAAAAACACTGACGGCACCCCACGTGCTAAGGCACGACTGGTGGTCAGAGGTTTCAATGATGTCGACGCTTTGAATGGTAACCCTGACACTGCGAGCCCTACGACCAGCCGCCTGCTGACGGTGTCTTCATGCTTGCGATGGAAAGCCTCGGCCGCAGATGTGTCAACAGCCTTTTTGCAAGGACTTCCACAAGAACGTCAACTATGGCTTCGTCTTCCAGCAGAAGCTCTACGAATCCTTGGTGCTCCTCCTGAGACCCGCATGTACCTGAAGAAACCTGTCTATGGACAGTTGGATGCACCACGTAGATGGTACCTGGAAGCCCTGCGTAGACTTGAAAGTCTTGGTTGGAAACGACATCAACTTGATCCCTGCCTCTTCATGCTCTTCGACGACTCCAACATCACTGATGGCGACACGCCCAAGTTGGTTGGCCTCCTCATCATCCATGTCGATGACATTTTGGCTGCAGGAGATGAGACCTCTGCAGTATATGCTGATGTTGAGAAGCGGCTGAAGGAAGTTTTTAACTTTCGAACTTGGGAAGCCGATACGCAGACCCTGGAGTACTGCGGTGTGAAGTTGGAGCGGCAGAACTATGCATGGTCAGTCCACCAAGAGGACTACTGAAAAAAGGTGAAACCCATCACCATCCACAAAGGCCGTTCTGCTGAAGATGAGATGAATGAGCACGACAAGTCTCAACTTCGTGCTTTGTTGGGATCAATACAGTGGCCAGCAGTTCAAACAGCCCCACATGTGCAATGCAGTGCCAGCCTCATTAGCGGTCAGCAGAAAACCAACAAGCTGCGCGCCATCATTGAGGCGAACCAGCTGCTCAAGTTTGCCAAGCAGAACCTGGATCTGCGACTGCGCTATGAGCCTTTGAACGTCCAGAGCTTGGATGGCATCAGACTTTTTTTCATGTTTGATGCTGCGCATGGGGTTCGTGAAGATCACACTTCACAGGGTGGTTACATTGCCTTCTTTGCCACGGATGAGATTTTTCAAGGCGAGAGCCACTTTCACATCATTGACTGGCGCAGCTTCAAGCTGCCACGTGTTGCAAGGAGCAGTTTGAGTGCCGAAGCCCAAGCTTGCGGCCAATCCTCCGACATGGCGGAATATGTTGCCAGGTTTTGGGGCTGCATGCTTCGACCTACGCAAAACCTTCGAGACCATTTGGATGAAACCTCAACCTTGCAGCCTTGCCTCATCACTGATGCGAAGGCCCTCTATGACTCCTACCACAAAGAAAGCCTTGCAGGTGCTTCCTCAGTGGACAAGCGCACCGGCCTTGAAATTCGTGTTGCAAAAGAGCAATTGACCTCACTTGGAGGTATGCTGCGATGGGTGAGCTCTGAGAGACAGTATGCGGATGGCCTCACAAAGATGTCAACGCGTGCTCTCCTTGCTGAGCGCATCCGTTACCACAAGATGAAGCTGATGTGGGATCCTGAATATACCAGTGCGAAAAAGAAAACAGCTGCTGAACGTGTGAAGCCAGCAGAACTGAGTTTGCAGAGCCGAAGAAGAAAAAGAAGGAATCACAAACAACCTCACCAACATTTTCATCATCACTTCAACACGCGACACCTGAACATCCACACCATTCCAACATGTTTGAAGAGTGCGATATGACTGAAGATGAGCGCCCCTTTGATGAGCGCTATGCCATGGAAGATGAGCGCCCCCTTGACGAGCGCTATGCCATGGAAGAGCCCTATGAGCCTGTCGAGGCCTACGCTGGTTTCGTAAAGAATGCCAAAGCCATTGTGTATGCCCTGACGCTCTACGCCACTATGCCAGCGGCTTCAGCGATGCATGTGCCATTGGACCATGAACATGGACGATGGGGAATTTATTTCTTTTGGATCATTTTGATCCTGCTGCTTTTGGGCTTGGCTTTTGCCCTTGGTCGACGGCGAGGCATTCGACTTCAACGTGCACGACAAGCTGAAGATGTCAGCATTGCCTTGGGACGTCTCGACAGCCTGCAGCTTCGAAACGACCGGCATGATGTGGAGACCCAGAGAATGCGAGAAGAGATTAACATGCTGCAGCAAGTTCGACAAAACCTCGAACTGGAGCGCAGATCAGCACATGTGATGGCGATCATGATGGAATACAATGGCCACCAGATCCGACACATGGTTGGACGGATTGATAGACTTCAAGGACTGATCGCAAATCATCAGATGCCGTGCCCACTTGGCGACACCATCCTGGTGCAAGAGAACTTGGATGAGACCCAATGGCACGTTGATGCTGACTGACCCATTCTCCAGATGAATCGAACTCCGATCTACGAGCTAGATCACTGCCAGCTTTGTGCCCCTCGAGATGTGCGCATGGTTCAAGACCGAGCATTCACTGGTCGATGAGAGATGCCGTGTGTTTCATTTGGTTTTCTTCCCAGATCAAAGATCTTGGATGTGCTGATGCATTTGACCGGCTGTTAGCCAACATTCCCCCGTGTCATTTGCATACATGCAACATGAATCCACCTGCCAGGTACCATTTCATTTGACCTGTCAGGTATCCGTTTTCACCAACGTTGCCCACTTCTGCTCAATTCCATTGGCAGGTGGGCGGGAATTTCACCAAGCCATAGCTGCTGCGAAAAGGTGCAGACTTCGAGCGCATGCACCACCATTGCCTCTTGGAAACTTCGTGGGTTCCAACCTAGCATTCTGTGTGATACCAACCCCGCAGAAGCTACACTAGGCATATTTTGATGAGATCAAACCGAATTTCTTAGAAAAAAATCCTTGGATGCGCCGGGGCCACCGAGGGGTGAAAGGGATGAAGGGATAAAAAAAAACATCCCGTTTTTCTCTCTTTTGGTGAACACTTATACTGGTTGGTGGTTGGGCCCTACCCCTCTGAAAAATATTACTTGGGATGATGACATTCCCAATAGATGGAAAAAACAAGTTCATGTTCCAAAGCACCAGCCAGTATCTATAGTTGGTTGGAGCAATCCGGCTATCACATCTCCAGCGTAATGGAAATGATCATGATTCTTCCCGCGCCAAAATATAATGTCCATTTTACAGGCAAAGACTTTAGTCACAGCAATTTTCTGGGATCACCATATTTAGTGAGGACATCGCTACGACCCCGTCACAGCAGGGTCACAGCAACAATGCGAAACAATGTATATATACTGATAGAATTAAAAAAATACTTTACTTCGTGTGATCCCCACCATGACATTTATACATTTTGTTACTGGCAAATCTTCTGGCAGTCTATCTGACATATCTTCTGGCATTCTATCTGGCATATCTTCTGGCATTCTATCTGGCATATCTTCTGGCATATTATCTACTCAAAACTTCTGGCAAACATTCTGGCACTTTATCTGGCATATCTTCTGGCATTCTATCTGACATTTTATCTGACATTCTATCTGGCATACCTTCTGGCATATCTTCTGGCATTCTATCTGGCATTTTATCTGGCATTCTATCTGGCATACCTTAGGGCATTCTATCTGGCATATCTTCTAACATTCTATCTGGCATACCTTCTGGCATTCTATCTGGCATATCTTCTAACATTCTATCTGGCATATCTTCTGGCACTCTATCTGGCATATCTTCTGGCATTCTATCTGGCCGTGCAGGTCCAGCGGTGCACAATGAGCTGAGGTCCGGCAGTGCACACTGAGCTGGGAAGGTCCCAGGTTGAGGTCCAGCGGTGTGGGAAGGTCCCAGGTTGAGGTCCAGCGGTGCACACTGAGCTGGGAAGTTGGCAAAGAGTTTGGCGAAGAGTTGGCAAGGCGGAAGTTGAGGTGGAAGTTGATGCAGACATGGTCGAGGCGAAACAGGCGGAGGAGAAGGAGGAGGAGAAGGAGGAGGAAGAGGAGGAGGAGAAGAGCTAGCCGAGGAGGAGAAGAACAGCTCTGATAAAATCTAACAACCCTCACCTGGCAGGTGGGGAACAACATTAATCAGCAAATTGGAAATCATGTTATGTGGTACTTTGCAGTTAGCATATACTAATCCAACAACATTAGAATAAATCAGCAAAATGGAAAATGGTATGAAATGGTATTTTGCAATCAGATCCCCGGTAATATTTTTGGAAGGCGGACAATGACGGTGCCCTGGGGCAAAAAACGATACTATTCCAGGGAGGTCATCCAGCTTAAATCACCATCCCATTTATCATCTCAGTATTCATTAATAATCACTGTTAATCGCTTTGACCCAAATACACTCATCCAAAAAATAATCCCTGGAATCCGCAAAATAAAAATATATATCCCCATATCCCCATTAGAAATATATTTATAATATACCCATCCCTATAGATATCCCATTTATAATGGGTTTTCCCGATGATTTTCCTATCACTTTCAGTTGGAGATCCCCTCCTCCAGCGCCTCCAGCATGCCACGCCACCAGGCCGTTTCCAGGTCGCTGGCTTCAAAGACACCCGCCCTCGGCAAAAACGCGGCAAAAATGGAGCTTTTCTCTGACTGAGCCAGCAAAACGATTCTTGCAGGCCATTTGAACCACTGAAAATTGAGAACCTGATTGAACAACAAAAGTGTCAAAAATTGACACTGGACCTAACTGCGAGGCAAGCTGCCTTAAATAGTTTATATCTAGCTGGGGTGCGTGGCAGATGCATCTGCAACTGCATTGATGAGCGTAAGCCAAGTTATTGCTGGGGGTTGGCTTTGAAGAAGCACTGGGAGTTGGCTAATGCACGCACATGGTTTCCGGAAGAAATGTGACATCTATGAGCAAGAAGCTGGCCAGTGTTGGCATGTAACCAGCTGAAAGAAGCGATTGAACACAGCCGCATGGAGTGGGATAAGGTATGATAAAGCCTCAGCACCTAACAAAAGGAATGTATCTACGGAAAAAAATGAAATATTAAGAGTCGATCCCCAAAATCAAATGTAAGCAAAGAAAAGGATGCCAATCAAGCCATGATGGCGTCTACCAAGCCTAAAGCTCACATGCCATGACGCGCGTGCCGGTGCACAAGAACCAATAGGGTTTTTGGCTTCATCCCAGTCGGCCCCCTGTCGTTGTTGCCGTTGTTGGTGAATTCGTGCGAGTTTGGGTCTGCAAACATGTATGACCTTACTTGTTCACCCCACGATCATGCCCTGCACGTGCAGCTCTTCCATGACGAACACGGCCACCGTGCGATGCAAAGGCAGAGATCAGACCTTCGTGAATTCAAAACGCCACAATGAAATGATTGGTGTGTCACCCATAAACCCTAGTCATCGTAGTTATAAACCAAGCTTGCCATCTTGGGGGGAAAGCATTGTGCCTTTGATTGACCATGATCTGAAACCCAAAAAAAACATGGTGTATCATCATTACCATCCCCGCAAGAAAACATTGGTCCCCAAAAGGATACCGAAAGTCGTGTGAGTGAAACCAGCTGGCAGATTTTCGGCGATGTTTCCTCAAGAAATTTCCAAGTGTCCAACTTTTCTCTATCTTTTTGGGGATAAATCTATAAGCTATACCCTCTGGTAATTTAACATAGCTATTGAAAATGACCATTTATAGTGGATTTTCCCATTGAAAATGGTGATTTTCCATAGTTATGTTAGTTTACAAGAGGGTATTAGATGGTCATAGATGGTCTATGTTGCGACTGGATGCTATCCCCATGACGGCCATGAGTCCAGTCGCTTAACACCTCTGAAGAGGGCCGCGACGCAGCCCGAGGAGATGGGTGACTTTTTTATCCACTGATACCCTCTGGTAAACTAACTATTACCCATGGTGTGTGGTTATACCCATAAAATTGATGTGTAAAAAACTATACATTGGAATATATTCATAGATATACCCTCTGGTAAACTGTTACATAACTATGGAAAATCACCATGCTATCAATGGGAAAATCCACTACGTCTATTGTCATTTTCAATAGCTATGTAACAAATTACCAGAGGGTAACTGGAACTGCACTTCCAAGATCTTCCAAGTAGATAGATCACATGGTTGAAAAAATCTCCAAGAACTGTGGTTTAAAGATGGTTTATGGCAATAAAATAACAATGGTATAAGTGGAACTGCACCACCAAGAAAAAAAATGGCAAGAGAAGCAGATCATCTTCAGCAAATGAGAGTTTACCACCATTTGGGTTTGTATACCTGACATAGGTCTTGCCCTGGAATTCCACCAAGCTTCTCTTCGACTTAGATACAAGTCCAGCGGCTGTTTTTTTGTAGGCTTCTACCACCACAAAAACATCAAACAAATCCATAGCATGGCAACCCAGCTGGCAAACCACAGGGCAAACCACCACTTCATCCAAACGTGTACGGGAAAAAACCCTGAAGACCGCATCTCTTATTAAGCACCAATCCTGAGCTTAGCCATGGTCGTCATGGTCGTCCATGACGTCCATGACGACTTACACTGCGATTTCTTGGAACACCAACCAATTTGGCCAAAAAATCCGCGATAGACCGCTTTCAATGTGTGAAATAATGGGACAAGGAGCGAACGAAAAAAACGGTGAAATTTCTCCATGTTTTGCTGGTTCCCCATCGCTGCCTTGTTGAATCCGCTCATTTTTCATGGTGTCTGAAGGCTTGATGGTCCATGTTTAATGGTAAAACATGGCTGAAGCATCAGTTCATGGTTAAGAAAAATGTTTCATGAAATGGTGATGAAAATATGGTCTTGCTGAACCATCAAATCTTCATGGTTGATGAAACGGTTTCTCTGAAAAATGTTGGGAAAAAACAAAATCCAATGAGTAAAATATGGTTACATAAACCACCAGAGTTCATGGTTTTTCACGCCACCATTTCTTGGCCACACACACTGAGGCGCCAGCTTACGAGAATCTCGCCGCTCCCCTGGACGCGATTGCGTAGCTGCAAATCATCCCAAAACTGGAAAAAACAGAAGCCACACCAGCAAATGGTGGTTTCCATAAATGGGGAACCCCCAAGAACGCTGGATGGTTTATAATGGGGAAACCCTACTAAAATGGATGATTTGGATTGATAAAAGGGGGTACCCCTATTTTAGGAAACCACCAAATGCTGATGAAATCTCCATGGTTTTTCTAACCCTCTGGTAATCATGGTGGAGACACCACGATCTTCGTAAAAAGTTACCCATCTTCTAGCAGAACACCATGGAGACACCACTTTTATGTGGGTCCCAAAGTTATGTTCAAATTTACTCCGATTTCATGCGGACACCACATCCGGGAGCAGTTGTTGTAGTTGTTTCAAACATTTTAATGTGCAAAACACCATGGGACACCGGGACA